GTTATTATTTTTGCTTAAATAGTCCAGCATCTTTAAAAATAAATAACAAAAAACCTTTTATATTTATCAGTGTACTGATTCCAGTGTTCTTCATTCTTTTGTGTAGATCTGTATTTCCATCTGATCTCATTTTTACTTCTACCTGGAGGATTTCCTTTAACATTTATTATAGCATCAATCTACTGGTGAGGAATACTTTCAGTTTTTTGTGTGTCAGAAAGTCTTTATTTTTTCTTAGTTTTTGAAATATATTTTTACTGGGTGTAGAATTCTAGGTTGACATTATGTTTTCTTTTTATATTTTAAAATATGTTTCTCCACTGTCTCTTGGCTTGGCTATTTCCCAATGTGGTCTGCTTTTATCTTTAGATTTGTTCCTGTGTACCTAAAATGTCTTTTTATTCTCTTTCCATTTAAAATTTTTTTTTAATCTCTGGTTTTGAGTAATTTGATTGTAAAATGTCTTGAGGTAGTGTTCATTTTTCTTGTGCTTGTTGTTCATTGAGCTTCTTGGATCTGTGGGTGTATTTTTTATGTCAAATTTAGGAAATTTTCAGTCATTATTTCTTTAAATATTTTTTCTCTCCAGCCCCATCTCTCTTCCCTTTTGAGGACTCCAATTGCATGTATTTTAGGCCATTTAACATTGTCAACTCATTGATACTCGGTTTATTAAAAATTTTTAAATTTTCTATCTGTGTTTCTTTTGAGATACTTTCCCTTGCTGTCTTCAAGATCATTAACCTTTCCTCTACAACCCCTAATCTGCCATCAATTCAACCCAGTGTATTTTCCATCTCACACATTGTAGTTTTCTTCTTTAGAAGCTCAATTTAAGTCTTTTAAAAAATATTTTCCATGTTTCTACTTAATTTTTTGAACATATAATATCTGACTTAATGTCTTAAACCACTCATTTCACATCTGGGTCAGTTTTATTTGATGAATCTATATCCATATTATGGGTTGTACTTCCTGATTCTTGCATGCATGCCTGGTATTTTGAGTGAATCCAGACATTGCAAATTTTACTTTGCTGGGTGCTGGATATTTTTATATTTCTATAAAATATTATTGAGTTTTATTTGGGGGGTGCATTTAAATTACTTGGAAATGTTTGATACTTTCAGGCCTTGCTGTTAAGATTTGTTAGGTGGATCTAGAGTAGTGTTCAGTCTAGGTCTCTTTATTCCCTGCCAACTGAAGCAAGACCCTTCTGTGTACTCTACCCTGTGAATCTTGAGGTTTTCTACTCTGGTTGGTGAGAATAGGCATTAATTCCACTTTTGGGTGAATGCCAGTCACTTTTTATATGATATTCAGTCTTGGGTAGTTTGTCACATGTAGCACTAATCGATATTCAGTTAAAATCCTGATAGACATTATGGTCGACTGATTAATGGGACCCTCAGATAGGTTCATAGGGCAAAGGGAATTTTATAGAGAGTTGAATTAAACATTTTGAACTGGAGATACTATCCTGGATTATGTGGGTAGGCCTCATCTAATCATATGGGTCTTTATAAGAAAGAAGTAGATCAAAGTGGGAAGTAGCAGATATGTTTGACAAAAGCAAGAAGTTGGAGTGTAGTGAGGAAGGGGCCAAGTTATGCAAATAAGAAGCTGACAAATGCAAGAAAACAGATTCTCTTCCTGAATCCTTCAGACAGATGGCAGCCTTGCCAATATGTTGAATTTGGACTTCTGACCTTCAGAACTGTAAGAGAATACATTTATGTTATTTTGAGACACTAAGTTTGTGGTAATTTGTTACAGGCAAAAGAGAAAACTAGTAATGTAGGCATCCGCTGCAGAGCTCTGTGGTTCGTTCTCTGTGTAGCTCGCTCCTCTACATTACTCTGTCTTGTGAACTCTAGCTGCCTTGCTCTCCTAAGAATCTCAGTTCTGTCTCCTCAACTCGGATAATCTGCCAGGCTTCCTCTTTCTGCCCCATGGTCTGGAAACTATGTCAAGCAGTAAGCTGGGGAAATCATAGACTTCACATCATTTACTTGCCATCTCTCAGTGATCACTGTCCTTCATTGTCTGATGGTCAGTGTCTTGCAAGTTATCATTTTATAGTTTGAACATTTTGGAGTTGTTTTAAGTGAAAGGGCAAATCTGATCCCTGTCAATTCATCCCCAAAATGTAATTTTACATGTTCACATTAAAAAAGCTAAAATTAAAAAGGTGAAATACATTTTAGTAATATATTTTAGTTACCTCATTAAATACAAAATACTATCATTTCACACATACATGAATTTTTAGGAATGTACATACACAAAGTAAGAATTATTAATTCTTATGGTATAGAGATTCCTTAAAAAACTAAAAATAGACTTACTATATGATCCAACAATCCCACTCCTGGGTATGTATCTGGAGGGAACTCTAATTCAAAAAGATACATGCAACCCAATGTTCATAGCAGCATTATTTACAATAGCCAAGATATGGAAACAACCTTAATGTCCATTGGCAATAATTGGATAAAGAAGATATGGTATATATACACAATAGAGTATTTCTCAGTCATAAAAAATAATAAAATAATGCCATCTGCTGCAACATGGATGGAGATTGTCATTCTAAGTGAAGTTAGCCAGAAAAAGAAAGAAAAACACCATATGCTATCACTTATATGCGGAATCTGAAAAAAAAAAAAGACACAAGTGAACTTATTTACAAAACAGAAACAGACCCACAGACATAGAAAATAAACTTATGGTTACCAGAGGGGAAAGCAGATAGGAAGGGATAAATTGGGAGTTCCAAGATTTGCAGATACTAACTTCTGTATATAAAATAGACAAACAACAAGTTTATACTGTACAGCATAGGGAACTATATTCAATATCTCGTAGTAACCTATAATGAAAAAGAATCTGAAAAGGAAATATGTATGTACATATATGACTGAAACATTATGTTGTTTACCAGAAACTGACACAACATTGTAAACTGACTATACTTCAATTTAAAAAAGAGTAACTCTGAGGGTCAAGACAAGAAGGAAGGGAAAAGAGAAGGACAAAATAAAGGAACAGGTATGAGATAAATATAAGTATTTGATCTTTTTAACAGAGAACATTACTCTATTATGGAACATAAGTAGCTCATCAGGCTTATCTACAGCCTGAATGAACTGTCTCTTAAGACCCTCTGACTTACAGGTACCTTGGCACTGCAAAGAAGGGATGATGGATTATAAAGCAATCTGTGCACTAGAAAAGGCATAGTTCTAATGGGGGAAAAATCCAATAAATTGACATTCTGCTTTCTGTATCAGTCTTATGTGCAGTTTTAAAATATGTCACTCTATAGAACCTCATTACTTCTGAGAGAAAATTCAGAACTGAGTATCTGGATCTCTAGAGTTGAGGACCAGACTTTAGATACTGATATATCCTCACTGAGAAATGAAATTTTATATTTTAAAAATTCAAGTTCTCATTGCTATCTCTTTTCATTTCTCCATTGGATATTTGTTGGCCAATTTTATCTCTGCTTTCATATTGACATTTTCTGGAGGATAGCTACCGCTTAGTCATGTTTGCATCTCCCACAGCATTTAGAACAGAAAACACTACATATGTTTCTTCAGTGAAAGAATGAGTGAGGCATAGATTTGTTCCCCTCACTTTCATGTGGAGAGAGTTATAGACCAAATGTAGAATGCATATGTATCTCAGTGCATTTAAGAAACTGGCTGATCAAGCCAGCACTGACCTTTTCCACAGTAGCTGATTGATCAGCCTATCTCTGACCCCAGGACTGCCTTCAGTCTCTGAACACTGGCCTGGTGTGTGTCACTGTGCCTAATCCTCCTCTTAGAATAGCTCCATCGCTTCCTTCTAGAGTGCTTAATTCAATATTAAGAATCATTGGCTTGCTGAATTGAAGCAAAAGTGAGTATTCAAGATGAGCCAATTTTTACCTCAGTTTAGAGACTAAAAGAGCAAGAAGTTCAGGGAAACTTTTCAGAGAAAATTCACAGCTCAAACTCAAGGTAATGCTGGAGATCTTTGAACCGTGGACTTTTGTGGCCTCTGATCTCTGGTGCCACTTAGTGGAGCCAAGTCACTTACTTCCTCTCTTCTTATTTCTACTTTTTAGGGCAAGAATATCTCAGCATGGGCATGAGTAGCTTGAAATTGCTGAAGTATGTCCTGTTTTTCTTCAATTTGATCTTTTGGGTAAGTGTGTCTCTTCTAAGCATGGTTGAGCTCACCTTTTCCCAGCTACACTCTACTTCTTTCTCTTCTCCTGAAGAGCCTGGTGTGGAATGCAACCCATGCATGCCCAGGTCATGAACAGTATACCCAGCCCAAGAACAAGAAAATAATAATTTCCTCCCCTCTTCCCATTCTGCCACAGTATAAGCCTACAAAATTGAAAGATATAATGCAGTTGGGGATGCTGTTTCTCTCTGGGAGCTTTAAGCTATCACTGCTCATTGCTGACATCTATGGGTGAGAAACCTAAGATTCTATATTCTGTGTATTGTGTGCCCCTTTTTCTTACTCTTCCTACCTCCAATCCTGGCTTCTTGGGAAAAATAGCTGATTGAAAGGGAAGTCACCTTTTCTGAGGAGGTTTCACTATACAAAATTCAGCAATTGAATTTCAGACATAAGATGGGTTGGTACTCATGCTTCTATGAGAAGATCTTAAAAGTTTGGCTTCTCTAATTTTCTGCCAAGGAAGATGAACTTCTCAAGTTCATCAGGGCATCCCCTTTACATGGTCTTGGTTTCCAAAGCGAAGACCATGTATAAGCAGTTGAAGAAACAAGAAGTAGGAATCTGAATTGTGAAGATATGAAGCATGAGCAGGAATCTGAAGCATGAAGATAACTGTGTTACTGATAGGAATGAACTTTCCTTGGTGTCTGATATGGGTAGGATAATGCATGGGTGGGACATCACAGGAGATGATAACTTTTTTCCTAGGTGTATGAGGAAATCTGAGTAAAGAGTTTGTTGGGTAGAGGCCACGGGAAAAGGTGATTCTGATCTCAAGTAAGTGAGAATATGAGGAGACAGTCAAGAACCATGTTTCACTTTGGAATGTTATGTGATTCTTCCTTTCAGTTCTGCGGCTGTTGCATCTTGGGCTTTGGGATCTACCTCCTGATCCACAACAACTTTGGGGTGCTCTTCCATAACCTCCCCTCTCTCACACTGGGCAATGTGCTCATCATCGTGGGCTCCATTATCATGGTGGTTGCCTTCCTGGGCTGCATGGGATCTATCAAGGAGAACAAGTGCCTGCTTATGTCGGTGAGTTACTCTCACAGCTGATGTGGTGCTCTAAGTCGGGGGACCTGATGCCTTAACCAACAGACAAGATGTTTTATGGTAGCTCACCTATTAGCACAGGGAAATCATAGGAACATGAGATTCGCACCTCAGGTCAGTCACGTCTGTCTAGACCAATACTATTTGCTTTCCTACAGGATTCCCGGGGATAGATAAGAGAGGGTATTGCTGTCCTCCTTGGCATCCATTTTACATTGTTAATAATGACACCTGTCATTATAATTTGCCTTTATAGCTTTTTATTTCTCCTTTATATCTGATTGAAATCGAGTGTCATCCTTCTGCCTAAATCCTTGTGACACTAGTATGTATTCCCAGGATCTGACTCAGAGTCACTAACTGATGGAAAATATAGTCTGTAAATTCTTCTGAATTCTGTGACCCTCCTAAAATGGCAGAGGACGCTTACCTGTCTCACATCTGTCACAATGTGAGTGACCCAGCCAGGCGAGGAGGGCCTAGGCTGCAGCCACTGAGTTCTAACACGAGAGATGCTCCCTGTCAGTTAATTACCCTAAGGAGTGCCTTTAGACTTGGATTTTGCACTTAAGCTCTATGAGAGAAGAACTCCTCATTTCTCTAGTGTGCCCAAAACAGAGCTTGGTATAACAGTGCCACTCTATCCATAAGTATGGGTTCCCCATCACCTTGGTTCTTCCTCAAGCCATGTGGTTAATCTTCTCTCCCTTATGGATCCACTGTTAAACTGGAGCCAAGAGAGAGAATAAGAAAGTCCTTATTCTCAGATAGTTCTCAGACTAATGGCAAAAGACTAATGGCATAATAGACACGGAGAACAGGTTTAAGTAGCCACAATTTGTGTTGGAGTAAAAAGGTGAGGGAAGGTGAATAAGTGAAAATGTGTTTTCTATTAACTGTGATTAGCATAAGAATCTAAAGTTGGAGATAAATATGAGTTAGGACCATGATTAGAGCATCTCTTCTCCCCATCTGTACAGGGTTCCTCTCAATCTCCACCATCACTTATCTTCCACCCCAAAGTAGCCCTGCACTTGCAGAAAGGACCAGACCCCAAACTCTAAAGATACATGGTTTAATTTACTAGTCTTTTGCTCAATTGTCTCAATAGGTTGATGCCAAAAATGCTTCATTGAGTCAACAAATGGTATTGCATATTCATAATGCACACAGAACTCAATATTCACAATGGGAATAAGAGAACAAAGTTTGAAGACAGCTGATCTGCCCTCCAGAATCTTGGAGACTAGCTGTAGGAAAAGAAAAATATTCCTCACAGAACTAGAGAAGGCTTATAAAGGCCTGAGTAGGCAGGAACAGAACCTCCTGCACATGCACAGAGACATGCCGATGCTGCAGGGGTAAAGTGGGAGTGGGGGAAGAACTGGGATCAATGCTGTGAGCATCTCTCTGCTTTTCCCCAGTTCTTTGTCCTGCTGCTGATTATCCTCCTTGCTGAGGTGACCTTGGCCATCCTGCTCTTCGTTTATGAACGGAAGGTAAGTTATAGGGAACACAACTCAGTGTTGTATTGCTAAGAGTGGGGAGTAGGCAGTGGGGAAGAAGTTGGCACAAAATAAGTCCTATAATAGAGGTAGAATCAAGGTGTAAAGATGGAGGAAAGAGAGATTAATTGTACTTGGGGAAAGAAAAAAATTCATGAAGGGAATTTCATTTGAGTGGTGTTTTAAAGGATAAACGTAAAGAACAGTAAAAACAAATTTATCTTCCTCCTACTCATTTTTCTCCATGTGTTTGGCAGTACAGAATATCTGTCTCAGAGCCCAAGACACCCATGCTTTTATTGTCTCTTTTCTTCCTTCGTAAAACCAGAGTTCTAGAAGGACAAGAGACAACTGTGTATTTCTTCCTTCAATGCCATTTCATCCTCAGCGTTTCTTCCTATATATAAGCTCCCTCCCCTCACTTCCTTAGTTCTGAGGAGACCATTTGGAAGGGAGGAGCAAGTGGAACCACTTTACTAGCCTATGCTAGAATTCTTTGTTCCTTCAACTCACCTGCTTTTTACAATGTCTCCTCTGCTGGAATGTGCCCACCCAGCTGAATGACTATGTGGCTGAGGGTCTGACCGACAGCATCAAGCGATACCACTCAGACAACAGCACCAAGGCGGCGTGGGACTCCATCCAGACATATGTGAGTACAAGAGGAATCCTCCTCAGTTCAGCCTGGATTTAATTTTCCAACCTCAGTTCCCTGGGACAGATCAGCCCCTAGGTTCGGAATAATGCTTGGCTGTCATAAACAGGAGAGCATGGGAATCAACCTGATCGGTACAAAACTCTCTGTTGTTCTCTTTTTAATCCTTCACCCAGCCTCACTGTTTAATCCCTACTAAGATGTAAGAAAGACCTGTATCATACTGGATTAGCTTATGTATTTTCCAAAATTCTTCTGAAAATACCATCAGAAATCTCTTAATTTCCTGAGTAACCCAAATCATTCTTGCTCCCTAGCTCACCAGCACCCCATTCCTCATGCTCCTCCCTACCAAGAAACATAAATATTGACCTGGCATTCCTGGCTCGGTGTGTGAGAGTAAGGGAGCCAGCATGACACCATAGTCTGTGTCTCAGACAGTACCATTTTGACTACATGGAGCCACCTGTGGCCCTGCCATGCCAACTCAGGGTAGAGTAAAAGAAATTGCATAGGGATTAAAGCCTGGAGACCAGACTGGGTGGCCTTGGAAAAGTCACGTAACTTCTCTGGATCCTCACTTCTTTACTTCCCTTTTTAAATTAAATTTAGAAACTTTTCTTATAGAATTTCCAGACTTATACAAAAGAAAGAAGACTAGCAGAATGAATATCCGGGTACATATCACCCAGCTTTAACAGTCAACATTTTACCAATGTTGTTTTAGCTAATCCTCTCTGCTTTTTTTGCTAGAATTTATTAAAACAAATAATAGACATTTCACAAATAAAATATAAAGATAATTACTTATTTTTTTAAAAAACATTTGATTTTTCCGAACAGTCATATGTTTACAACAGAAATGAGAGGTAGAGACTTCCCATATACTCTCACACATGCTGCATTGTCTCCCCATTATCAACATCACTTGCCAGATGATATTTTTTTTTATGAAGGATGAACCTATATTGACACATAGTTATCACCTAAAGTCCATAGGGTTTACATTAGGGTTCACTCTTGGTGTTGCACACTCTTATGTATTTGAACAAATTTATAATATATATGCCACATTATAATATCATACAGAATAGTTTCACTAATGCTAAAAATCTTCTGTGCTCTGTCTATTTATCCCTCCTCCTACCCTCTTCCCTGGCAACAAATGATCTTTTCTATTGTATCCATAGTTTTGCCTTTTCTAGAGTGTCCTGTAGTTGAAACCACACAGTACGTACAGCTTTTTCAAATTGGCTTCTTCCACTTAGTAATATGCATTTAAGATTCCTCCATGTCTTTCCATGGCTTGACGGCTCATTTCTTTTTGGTGTTACTATTCCATTGTTTAGTTATTCAGGCATCTACTGAAGGATATCTTGGTTGTTTCCATGTTGCAGCAATTATGAATAAAGCTGCTCTAATCATTCATGAGCAATTTTTTGTGACATAAGTTTTCAACTCCTTTGGCTAAATACCAAGAAGCATGATTGCTGGATCATATGGTAAGAGTATGTTTAATCTTCTAATAAACCTCCAAACTGTCTTTCAAAGCATCTCTGCCATTTCTGATTCCCGCAAGCAATGTATGAGAGTTCCTGTTGCTCCACATGCTCACTAGAATTTAGTGTCATTGTTCCAGATTTTGACCATCTTAATAGATAGATACTGAAAGCTTACTGATTAAATTTTCATTTCCTTGATGACATCTGATGCGAATTTTTTTTTGATGTGAATTTTTATATGTTTATTTGCTATCTGTATATCTTCTTTGGTGAGGTATCTGTTAAGGTCTTTGGTTCATTTTTTTAAACTTTTTTTTATTGGGTTATAGTCATTGTAGAATGTTGTGTCAAATTCTAGTGTAGAGCACAATTTTTCAGTTATACATGAACATACATATATTCATTGTCACATTTTTGTTTTCACTGTGAGCTATCACAAGATCTTGTATATATTTCCCTGTGCTATACAGTACAATCATGTTTATCTATTCTACATTTTGAAATCCCAGTCTTTCCCTTCCCACCCCCCACCCCCTTGGCAACCACAAGTTTGTATTCTATGTCTATGAGTCTATTTGTGTTTTTATTGTTTGTTTATTTTGGATTCCACATATGAGTGATCTCGTATGGTATTTTTCTTTCTCTTTCTGGCTTATTTCACTTTGAATGACATTCTCCAGGAACATCCATGTTGCTGGAAATGGCATTATGTTGTCGGGTTTTATGGCTGAATAGTACTCCATTGTATAAATATAACACATCATCTTTATTCAGTCATCTGTTGATGGACCTTTAGGTTGTATCCATGTCTTGGCTATTGTAAATACTGCTGCTGTGAACATTGGGGTGCAGGTGTCATTTTGAAAAAGGGTTCCTTCTGGATATATGCCCAGGAGTGGGATTCCTGGGTCATATGGTAAGTCTATTCCTAGTCTTTTGAGGAATCTCCATACTGTTTTCCACAGTGGCTGCACCAAACTGCATTCCTAACAGCAATGTAGGAGGGTTCCCTTTTCTCCACAGCCTCTCCAGCATTTGTCATTTGTGGAATTTTGAATGATGGCCATTCTGACTGCTACACCTGATATTTCATCATAGTTTTGATCAGCATTTCTCTGATAATTAGTGATATTGAGCATTTTTTCATGTGCCTATTGATCATTTGTATGTCTTCCTTGGAGAATTACTTGTTTAGGTCTTCTGCCCATTTTTAGATTGGGTTGTTTGTTTTTTTCTTATTAAGTCATATGAGCTGCTTATATATTCTAGACATTGAGCCTTTGTCGGTTTCATGGTTTGCAAAAATTTTCTCCAATTCTGTAGGTTGTTGTTTGTTTTACTTATGGTTTCCTTTGCTGTGCAGAAGCTTGCAAGTTTAGTTAGGTCCCATTTGTTTATTCTTGCTTTTATTTTTATTGCTTGGGTAGACTGCCCTAGGAGAACAATTTTGAGATGTATGTCAGATAATGTTTTGCCTATATTTTCTTCTAGGAGGTTTATTGTATCTTGTCTTATGTTTAAGTGTTTGATCCATTTTGAGTTTATTTTTGTGTATGGTGTAAGGGAGTGTTCTAGCTTCATTGCTTTACATGCTGCTGTCCAGTTTTCCCAACACCATTTGCTGAAGAGACTGTCTTTATTCCATTGTATATTCTTGCCTCCTTTGTTGAAGATGAGTTGACCAAAAGTTTGTGGGTTCATTTCTGGGCTCTCTATTCTGTTCCATTGGTCCATATGCCTCTTTTTGTACCAATACCATGCTGTCTTGATGACTGTAGCTCTATAGTATTGTCTGAAGTCTGCAAGAGTTGTTCCTCCAGCCTCTTTCTTTCTCTTCAGTAATGCTTTGGCAATTCTAGATCTTTTATGGTTCCATATAAATTTTATTATGATTTGTTCTAGTTCTGTGAACTATATCCTGTGTAATTTGATAGGGGTTGTATTAAATCTGTAGATTGCATTGGGCAGTGTGACCATTTTAACAATATTGATTCTTCCAATCCAGAAGCATGGGATATCCTTCCATTTTTTAAAGTCTTCTTTAGTTTCCTTCATCAATGGTTTAAAGTTTTCTGTGTATAATTATTTCACCTCCTTGGTTAGATTTATTCCTAGATATTTTATTACTTTGGGTGCTATTTTAAAGGGGATTGTTTCTTTACTTTCTTTTTCTGTTGATTCATCATTAGTGTAAAGAAATGCCACTGATTTTTGAACGTTAATCTTGTAACCTGCTACCTTGCTGAATTCTTCGATCAGTTCTAGTAGTTTTTGTGTGGACCTTTTAGGGTTTTCTATATATAGTATCATGTCATCAGCATATAGTGACACTTTTACTTCTTCTTTTCCAGTTTGGATCCCTTTTATTTCTCTCTCTTGCCTGATTGCTGTGGCTAGGACTACAAGACTATGTTGAATAGGAGTGGTGATAGTGGGCAGACTTATCTTGTCCCAGATTTTAGTGGGAAGCTTTTGAGTTTTTCACTGTTGAGTACTATGCTGGCTGTAGGTTTGTCATATATAGCTTTTATGTTGAGATATGTTCCCTCTATACCCACTTTGGTGAGAGTTTTTATCATAAATGGGTGTTGAAGTTTATCAGATGGTTTTTCTGCAACTATTGAGATGATCATGTGGTTTTTGTCCTTTCTCTTGTTGATGTGATGTATTACATTGATTGATTTGCATATGTTGAACCACCCTTGTGTCCCTGGGATGAACCCCACTTGATCATGATGTATAATCTTTTTTATGTGCTGTTGGACTCAATTTGCTAATATTTTGGTTAGGATTTTGGCGACTATGTTCATCAGTGATATTGGCCTATAATTCTCTTTTTGGGTAGTGTCTTTTCATGGTTTTGGTGTCAGGGTGATGGTGGCTTCATAGAATGAGTTTGGGAGTATTCCCTCCTTTTCAATCTTCTGGAAGAGTTTGAGAAGGACTGGTAAGGGTTCTTCTTTGTATGTTTGGTAGAATTCCCCAGTGAAGCCGTCCAGTCCTGGACTTTTATTTGTAGGGAGTTTTTTTTTTATTGCAAAATCGATTTCATTTCTAGTGATAGGTTTGTTCAAGTGGTCAGTTTCTTCTTGGTTCACTCTTGGTGGACTGTATGTTTGCAGAAACTTGTCCATCTCCTCTGGGTTATCCATTTTGATTCCATATAGTTTTTCATAATATTCGCGTATGATATTCTGTATTTCTATGTTATTGTTG